TAGGGCGGCTAGGAGCTGGAACCAACTTCCAAGGGAAGTGGTGCTGGCCTCTACTCTGGGGGTCTTTAAGAAGAGGCTGGATGCCTACCTGGCTGGATTCATTTGAGTCCCGTCTCTTGTTTTGGGGTTTTGTTGTTCTCCCGCCCTGGCGGGGGGTCGGGCTAGAAGATCTACTAGGTCCCTTCCGACCCTAAATCTATGAAACTATGAAACTTGGGAAGACTAAAGGCAAAAGCTATTTTCTCTAGGCAGTCTGGCCATTAACATGCCAACCCTTCATTTCTACTGGGGGCTTCACACTATGCCAGTAATTACCTAACCCCTGAAAATACATATTTTCCAGACTGCAATCTTGTATCCTTTCAGACATGCAGATTCATTCATCTGAGAAGCTGTTTTTTCTCCTGCATAGTAGTTTCATTAGCTAGGTGTTAGACTTCTTTTAAAATATAAATATGTAATTGTTTGTCCAGACCTGGGCTTCCTTGCTTCTTAGCACTTCTGAATGGAGGACAAAAACATGAACCAAGTCAAATGTTAATTCTTCACCATTGACTGTAAGTGCAAACAGTTGTGGGTGATTCAAGGTAATTGCTGCCTTACTGTAATACAACCTTAGCTGAAACCTAATACTATATTAAAATTACATGTATATTGAATACTATAACATGTACAGATAGGAGAACAACAGAACTGAACACAGCTTCACATTAGCTACAATTAGAAACTAACCACCCTAATTTTAACTAGGTTTGCTGGAGGGTGGAGACCAAAGCCCTGAGGTAAGTGGGGAAGCAGGAGATCTGGAGGAAGCACAAGGAGAAGGGGACAACCAGGGAGGTGTCCTCATTTTATTGAGGAAGTAGGGCATTCGGCTAGTGACCTCGGATGTCTATGCACAAATTCGCAGAGACTGGGAAATAAGCAGGGGAAGAATTGGATGTCCTTGCACAGTCAGGTAACTGTGACATAATTGGAATAACAGAGACGTGGTGGGAGCTCGCATGACTGGAGCCCTGTCATGGCTGGGTATAAACTGTTCAGGAAGAACAGGGAGGAGAGAAGAGGAGGAGTTGCATTGTATGTAAAAAAGCTGTATGATTGCTTGGAGCTCCAGTGAAACTAGAGATAGGCCTGTTGAAAGTCTCTGGATTAGGGTCAGAGGGGAGAGTAACAAGGGTGATGTTGTGCTGGGTGTCTGCAATAGACCACAAGACCAGAAGGATGAGGTAGATGAGGCTTTTTTTTTTTTTCAGACAATTAGCAGAAGTTTCCAGATCACAGGCCCTAGTTTTCACTGGGGACTTCAGTCATCCTGACACATGCTGAGAGGGCAATACAGGCAATTTAGGATGTTTTTGGAGAATGTTGGAGAGACCAACTAGGGGCCATGCTCTTCTTGACCTGCTGCTCACAAATGGGGAAGAATTGGTGGGGAGATGTAGAAGTGGATGGCAACTTGGGCAACAGTAAGCATGAGGTGATCAAGTTCAGGATCCTGACAAAAGGAAGAATGGAGAGCAGCAGAGCAAGGACCCTGAACTTCAGAAAAGCAGACTGACTCCCTCAGGGAACTGATGGTCAGGATCCCCTGAGAGGCCCGTCTGAGGGGGAAAGGAGTTCAGGAGAGCTGGTTGCATTACTGAGAGTGCAAGAACAAACCATCCCGATGTTCAGGAAGAATAGCAAATATGGCAGGTGACCAACTTGGCTTAACAGAGAACTCTTCAGTGAGCTTAAAAACAAAAAGGAAGCCTAGAAGAAATGGAAGCTTGGACAGACAGCTAGGGAGGAGTATAAGAATATTGCTCAGGCATGTGGGGGTAAAATCAGGAAGGCAAACCTTCAGTTGGAGTTGCAGCTAGGAAGGGACATGAAAGGTAACAAGAAGGGTTTCTCCAAGCATGTTAGCAATGAGAGGAAGGTCAGGGACAGCGTGGGTCCTTTACTGAATTGGGGAGGCAACCTAGTGAGAGATGAGGAGAACAAGGCTGAAGTACTCAATGCCTTTTTTATCTTGGTCTTTGCAGGCAAGTTCAGCTTCCAGAGTACTGTATCAAGCAACATAGTTTGGGGAGAAGGTGAGGAGCCCTCAGTGGTAAAGAACAGGTTAGAAACTATTTAGAAAAGCTGGACTTGTACAAGTCCATGAGGCCAGATGCAATGCATCTGAGGACACTGAGGGAGTTGGCTGTTGTGACTGTAGAGCTACTCACCATTATCTTTGAAAACTCATGGTGATTGGGGGAGGTCCCGGACAATTGGAAAAGGGCAAATATAGTGGCTATCTTTAAAAAAGGGAAGAAGGGAGGATCCAGGGAACTACAGACCAGCAGCTTCACCTCTGTCCCCAGAAAAAATTATGGAACAGGTTCTCAGGGAATCCATTTCTAATCACTTGGAGGAGAAGAAAGTGATCAAGAACAGTCAGCATGGATTCACCAAGGGCAGGTCATGCCTGACCAACCTGATTGCCTTCTGTGACGAGATGACTATCTCTGGATGTGGAGAAAGCAGTGGACATCATATACCTTAACTTTAGCAAGGCTTTTGATATGGTCTTCCACTGTATTCTTGCAAGCAAGCTGAGGAAGTATGGGTTAGATGAATAGACTGTAAAGTGGATAGAAAGCTGGCTGGATTGTTGACCTCAGTGAGTAATGATCAATGGCTCGATATCTAGTTGGCAGTCAATATCAAGTGGAGTGCCCCAGGGGTTGGTTCTGGGGCTGGTTTTGTTCAATATCTTCATTAATGATCTGGAAGATGGGATGGATTGTACCCTCTGCAAGCTTGCGGATAACACCAAGATGTGGGGTGGGGAGTAGTAGATATGCTGGAAGGTAGGGCTAGGATTCAGGGTGACCTAGACAAATTGGAGGATTGGGCCAAAAGAAGTCTCAGGAGATTCAACAAGGACAAGTGCAAAGTCCTGCACTTAGGATGGAACAATCCCGTGTACCAGTACAGGCTGGGAGCTGACTGGCTGGCCAGCAGCACTGCAGAAATGGACCTGTGGATTACAGTGGACAAGAAGCTGAATATGAGCCAGCAGTGTGCCCTTGTTGCCAAGAAGGCTAATAGCATACTGGGCTGCATTAGTAGAAGCATTGCCAGCAGATTGGGGGAAGTGGTTATTCCCCTCTATTCTGCACTGGTGATGCCACATCTGGAGTACTGTGTTCAGTTTTGGGCCCCCCACTACAGAAAGGATTTGCCCAAATTGGAGAGAGTCTGGTACAGGGCAGCCAAAATGGTTAGGGGGCTGGGGCACATGACTTCTGAGGAGAGGCTACAGGGATTTGTTTTTTTTTAGTTTCTCAGAAGAGAAAACTGAGGAGAGGGTTTAATAGCAGCCTTTTAACTCCCTGAAGAGTGATTCCAAAGAGGACGGGACTAAACTATTCTCTGTGGGGACAAATGACAGAACAAGGAGCAGTGATCTCAAGTTGCAGGAAGGGAAGTCTAGAAAAGGAAAACCTTTCTCACTAGGAGGGTGTTGTAGCACTGGAACAGGTACCTAGAGATGTGGTGGAATCTCCTTCATTGGAGGCTCTTGACACCTGGGTGGACAATAGGGGTGTGCGAAGCTTCAGTAGCCGATTCGATTCAGAGCAGATTTGGCCCGATTCGGTAGCCGAAT